CTATCAGACATAGGAATGTCCCAGGAAGATGATGTACCTGATCCCTGTTTCAAACCCTTTATTTCAAAGGGCTTTGTTTCTTTAACAGGGGATCCTAAAGACCAGCTGCCAGTACAGGTACTTAGGGACACAGGAGGTTCTCAGTCTATTATTAGAGAAGGCATCTTACCTTTAAACTCCAGATCATCATGTGGATCAAGTGCTGTTGTTCAAGGGGTAGGCATGACACTAGTTGCGGCTCCTTTGCACAATGTTTATATTCACTCATCGCTTGTCAAAGGATTCTTTAAAGTAGCTGTCCTCCCTGCCTTGCCCATCAAAGGTGTTCATTTCATCCTCAGTAATGACTTGGCTGGGGGAAAAGTTAATCCAGTACCTGAGGTCATTGATTCTCCTGATCTAAGTTTAGACACAGGGAAATCAGCTGAAGTACCTCCCGAAATCTTTCCTGCTTGTGTGGTTACAAGGGCCCAGTCAAAGAAATATGGAGAGGACTTGTCTGATTCTTTTCTTGCTACAGGGCAGTTTCTTGATGCCATGACTGTGTCGGACCGACTGCCAGAGGAGGCCCGGTCTGCTGGTGCTGGATCACCCAGTAACAGCTCAGGGCTTGTACAACTGCCTGCCACTCGGGAAGAATTCAGGGTTTACGAATAGTTTGTAATTCATTTATTAATTAGGTTGTGAACACTTTATAAATCCTTAATAAGCTTTTATAAGACATGAGATAAACAGGGCAACTGTGACCGGTTGCTTGCCAAATAGTGAGCCCACATTTATCTGTACTGCTAAGTCTTATATTGGCTACCTAGCTTACTTCGTCTCCTTCATCAGCCAGCATCCTTGGTATCTGTTGTTCACTGAGTTGATTCTCGCTAAGTAGCCAATATAAGGCTTAGTCATCTTGCCAAATAGTGAGCCCACATTTATCTGTACTGCTAAGCCTTATATTGGCTACCTACAGTAGCTTACTTCGTCTTCTTCATCAGCCAGCATCCTTGGTATCTGTTGCTCACTGAGTTCTTCTTCTTCGAGTCCGTAGCAATCTCAGATGTCATTCTGCCAGTATCGGGCACAGGCCACAGCTGATGGGGTAGGTTCTGCCAGGTCTTCTGGACTGCACCGGGGGGCATCGGCACATTCCAGTAGGTGGGACATTGTCTGCACTGATCCACAGCTGCACTGAGCTCACTGAGTTGATTCTCGTTAAGTAACCAATATAATGGCGCGTTTCCACTACACGGCCTCGCTCTGCCCCGCTCGGCATGGCTGGGCCTCGTTAGGACTGGCTCACTTTATGGCGCATTTCCATTACAGTTTAGGAACTGGGGCAGTATCTATAGTAACGCAGTGTAGGCGGAGCCGTGACGTGATCTTCAGAGGACCCCAGAAAAACAACACAGCCGTTAGCTGTTAGCACTCAGAGCTCACAGCTCCTCATATATGTTCAGAAACTAGACAAAAGTTAAACAAGTACAAACCACAGACTGCCTGTGTCATGGTGAATACAGTCGCTGCTTTATTTATGTCTGTATAGGCCGTTGTTGTGAGTGTGGACGGTCGGAGCATATACTGCGTTAGCTTAGCCAATCTCCATTTAGAAAACAAGCATTTTAAAAGGTTTTTCCCCTGCCGTCTGTCTGCAGACTTGACAAAGCATTAATTCATGGTTTTTACTAACCGGTATCAGTATGTTGTTACTTCGGCATCATTTTGAAACGTGTATTACAATTAAATCACGGTCAAATATGTCCATCTTGTTGTAGTTGTTGCCCCCTTGCCAGCGACGCTCTCTCTAGTTTAGCATACTCAGCCCGACTCAGCCTCGTTGTCTCTGGCCCTAGACCCACGATTTTATGAGGCCAGAAAAACTGTGAATTAGGACCCGCCGGCCGGTACTAGGCCAAGTGGAAACGCAACCAAAGACGGGCCGCTGACGTCACAGCCCTCTTAAACCGGGCTGCGCGCTGTAGTGGAAACGCGCCATAAGGCTTAGTCATCTTGCCAAATAGTGAGCCCACATGTATCTGTACTGCTAAACCTTATTAGAAATGGTAGTATGGTGATTTGTTTACAATAAGGCTCCCTTTTGGCAATTATAAATGTTAGTAACTCGTAAATAAATGGTCATAAGAGATGCCAAGAAACATCAAGATGGATGGGGGGGGGGAAATCAACTCAGTGAACAACAGATACCAAGGATGCTGGCTGATGAAGAAGACGAAGTAAGCTAAGTAGCCAATATAAGGCTTAGTCATCTTGCCAAATAGTGAGCCTGTGTTGATGTATGAAAACTATGTTAGAACTGGTTTATAAATGGTTCTTAATGATTAATAAAGTGTTTACAACCTAATTAATAACCTAATTATGAATCCTTTATAAGGGTAGTCTTATTGTAAAGTGGTACCGCATTTTCTCTCCGGTATAATTCATGTTTGTGGATATGGACCTTCTGTTAATCTACTGATGTTGTTGTTGCAGCAGTTTTCCAGAAGATGGAGACACATCTCTGTTTTCTTTTAATGCGTTGCGATATGTTTTACCTGTTTCAGAAGATAATGAATTCCCCTGTGATCACCTTGTCTTGTCTTTCACCAGTTACACCTGCGTTAATACTCCATATGCGGTAAGGAATATGAAATGTACTACTTGAAGTATTCAGAGAGCCTGGTTGGTTGTCTTTATTGTACATTAGATCAGGGGTTCCCAACCTTTATTGTGCCAAGGACCGGCAGATACATTAAAAAAAAATCGCGGACCGGTTGTCAATTTTAACTGATTTTAATATTTACTCACCACCAGCAGGTAGCAACAGAGGCTAATTGTATGTAACAGCCTGAACAAATACTAGAACAATATGCATCCAAAACATATTAACAAAGTTTAAAAAAGAACCGGTGTTGTTTTTTGGTTTTTCGGAAAACCAAAAAACCGACGTTATTCAGTTTTTAAACCAAAACGGGAAAACAGATAAATCAACGTTTTGGTTTTGTTTGTATGATTTACGGATAATCCAGTGAATGCTGGGAAAACGAGGAGAAGGCGCATTATGAAGTGTGTGTGTGTGTGTGTGTGTGTGTGTGTGTGTGTGTGTGTGTGTGTGTGTGTGTGTGTGTGTGTGTGTGTGTGTGTGTGTGTGCGTGTGTGTGTGTGTGTGTGTGTGTGTGTGTGTGTGTGTGTGTGTGTCACTGGCATTTGTTTTCAGAAGATATTATGATAGTGTCGTTCGTTCCGGTGCACTCCCGACAGCATAGCACTACATCGAGATTAAGATTAAACTAATTTATTTTGGGAACAGCCGCATATGCCGGTGTCGGACAGACACAAACACACCGAACACACAGAGCTGAGCTGAGCAGAGCACATACACACACACATCATGCGCCTTGGTGACTGACTGGACATATCCTTCATAAAACTAATAAAAGGGGGAGTAATCGGGCAGTTCGATGTGTGTAGAGGTGTGTGTGGTTAACACGTAGCAGCCTGCAGTCACTCTTAAACTGTTCTGATTAAGTTAAACACAGCGAAGGCGGTGCGTAAAAAGGCACAGCTCTTTACCGAGTATACGTCCCGCTGCCTCCTGATGCTTCAGCCATTTCATGAAGTGAAGGAGGGTTTCCTTCTATAAAACAGCTGCGGGCAGCAGATACCGTGAGAGTCCCGGACATTAATTCATAGATCAAGGCAGACTGGTTTACTCTCCTGTTTTGCCAATCCGGTGCTTAAACAAATAGCTCTACACCCCTGGCCGACATGTCCTTAAAATGAAGTCCGAGTTTGAAATCTATCTCAAATAATGTATGCACCACCATTTCCCCACATAAACATAACAGTCTGCAATCAAACGGTTGTCTCCTGTGCGCTCCTCTTCCTACTTGGCGCACCGGTAACATGCTTGTGCGCACAAGAGGCTGAGACCTTAGGCTGAGCCGCCGAATCCCTCGGAACATCATAAAAGCCATTTTCAACGGTTTTCTGGTGAAAGATGAACTAGCTACTGGATGAAATAATATGACTGGTGGCATAGGTGCGAAAATTAAACACTTTTTGAAAAAAATATTATGATAAAATATTTTTATATATTTATAATTCTGCAAATATTACGATAAACTCACAGCTATTTCGCGGCCCGGCAGTAACACCTCCGCGGCCCGGTACCGGTCCGCGGACCGGGGGTTGGGAACCCCTGCATTAGATTACCAAGATATCACTAAAGCCACTTTATCTTAAGGGTAGCAAAATCTAACATGTCCTTGTTACTTTTGCAATGAGAAGATGTTTCCATGAGGCTTTTACTCCAAATGATTTTGGAAGAATTTCCCTCCCTATTGATTGAAAAAGTATTAATAAAATAAAATAATAATAATAGTTTTTGTTATGATTATTATAAGTTTTCAAAAGCAAATTATTCCGATATCATTTGGAGTAGAAATCTATCATTATTTGTATTATTATTAATGTTGGACCGTTTGAAGCGGAATATAATTTATTTGACAGGAGAAACAACGTTTTGTCTATGAAACAAACAAAAAAGTGTAAAAGGATAAAAGTCGCCATTATGATATGGCCTGGATCAAATCACTACACTATGACACATGTATGGACACAAGGCTCCTTAATGTAGCAGCAACAGTATGTATATTATTGCTGTAATTTGGCCCTTAAATAGTGTTTTATCTGTCAGATAGTTTACAGATTTGTGTCTTCACGCTGATGTATTATATTTTCAGTTAAGTTCTGTTTTATCTTCTCTTTTGGGATGTTTACATAGTTTAATTGTTTGTTTTCTAAAAAAAAATGTATGTCTCATTAGTGCAATACTTTGTTTTACATTCCCAATTTGGGATTAATAAAGTATATCTTATTTTATAATGTATACTGTACGTGGGCTGATGCTGGTGGTTGCCGCTAGATGGTGACAGTGAGCACACAGAGACATTCTGTGTCTGCAGAAGATGTAGAAACACACTGTTCATACAGCAGGAGGTTATATTTCCACTTTCTGCGGGACGGTTCCTTATTCTGTGATGGAGGATTCACACAGGACGGATTGGATGCTACGTTAAAGTAAGTGTGACCTGCTGTCATTCCTCTTTTTTACCTCGATATGAAAGATAGTAGGTAAAAACGTCTATTTAACGTCAGTAAACAACACAAAACGGTACTTTGTTATTGAACAAAAAGCCTCCTAGCATGCTAAATTAAGTCAATAAATACTTGTTTACTAAAATGGCGTCGTAATGGCTAGTCCAAAGTAAATGATTAGCAGAAAAAAAAGCAGATTAAAAATAAATACATTCTTAAATCATGCAGTATAATTGTACTTTATGCTGGATACAATAAAGTAATTTTCTTTTTACAACAGTCTTCTTCAAAGCAGTTCATTACCTGTAGTAAATTCGTTATAAACTCTGTAGTGTGTATACTGTTTACCAGTGGTGGAAGTACATTTACCAAGTACAGAGAGTTCAGACTGTCAGAGACTGTCTACAGAAGATGTAGAAACACACTGTTTATTATACAGCAGGAGGTTATATTTCTGCTGCGGTTCCTTAGTGTGTGATGGAGGATTCGCACAGGACGGATTGGATGCTACGTTAAAGTAAGTGTGACCTGCTGTCATTCCTCTTTTTTACCTTGATATGAAAGATAGTAGGTAAAAACGTCTATTTAACGTCAGTAAACAACACAAAACGGTACTTTGTTATTGAACAAAAAGCCTCCTAGCATGCTAAATGAAGTCAATAAATACTTGTTTACTAAACTGGAGTCGCAATGGCTAGTCAAAAGTAAATGATTTGCAGAAAAACCGTAGATTAAAAAAACTCTGTGTAGTGTGTATACTGTTTACCAGTGGTGGAAGTACATTTACCAAGTACTGTACTTAAGTAACATTTTGATGTACTTTGGTGCTGCTTTATACTTCTACTTTGCAAGTTCATATAATTAACACAAATTGTAAATCAACTAATATATTTTGATAACTCTTTAGCAGCTGCAAAATGAACATATTGTACACATTCATGGATAACTAATTATAAGCCATTGATATAATATATATTATTCTAAAATTGTTCTTTCTGCATAATGAGTACTACTAGTTTTGGTACTTAGCTTATTTGTAAGATTTTGAATGCAGGACTTTTACTTGTAGGAGAGTATTTTTACACTGTGCTTTTATCCACTTTTATTTATGAAAATGATCTACTTCTTCCAACTATGCACCCAAACTGTCTTTAGTGTTTCTGTTTGCATTATACTCACTCAAATCCTGAAGAAGATGTAGTTTATTCAGACAGCTCTTAGGCTGCTGAACATGTACAGTTTGCTCTTCTCAAACAAACACACACACACACACACACACACACACTTTATCCTGCCGTAAATCAACATTTTCTTTGTACATACTGACATGCATAAGTATAGTCAGACATTCCTAAAGTAGTAGTTGTTGAGTTGTTTTGTCATTATACACAGATATTTAGTTAAATCACTGGTTTGGCGACTCTTCTGCGCTTGGAAACGTTTCATGTTGCGTTTTACTGTATTGTAAAGACGCATTTTCAGGTTCATATCAGTATTTAGTGTCTCTACTGTGACATGTCTCCATGCTTTAATGTTCAAAAAGCTCTTTATTTCTCTCATACTGCCTGGGCTGCAGCACCTCTTTTCACCCTCTGTCTGAAACCAGACTGCTACAGGAAAGGGAACACCTCAAAAAGAATAAAAGGGCCCTCTTTAAATAAAATCTTGTCCTTGTCCTCACTCCAGGACTGCGAACCAGTGCAGAGGTACATCTCTGTAGAGGAGCGTGGGTTAATGAGACTGAATGGATCCTCAGAGAGCGATGCTGGGAAATATACCTGCATGGTAGACGTCACCTTCAACGGCAGGAAGTTCACGGCGGCACGCAGCATACGGTTGAATTTCACAAGTAAGTACTGAAGGTCACTCCAGCCTGAAGATATGTCCTTATATCCTGATTAGACATCAATATGCTTTTTGTTTTAACTCTTTCATTATTATGTAAATGTTCTATATTATTAGTGATGCCATTTATCTGAAAAATAAAACTGTATTTCAAAAGTTAAGGATTATCCCTTACACAACATGCTTATATTTTGGGTTGTGAAAGTCAATAAGTAACACTCACTCATTTAGTTTTCTCTGATTTGGGAGGCGTGTGGTGCAGTGGGTCGTGCGTTGGTGTTCGGATCAGGTTCAAACCCCACTGCAGTCAGCATGTCGTTGTGTCCCTGGGCAAGACACTTCACCCCAAATTGCTCCTGTGGGGATTGCCCACAGTATTGAGTATGTAAGTCGCTTTGGATAAGAGCGTCTAACAAGTAACATGTAATGTAATGATTTACCCGTGGCTCCTTCTCAGAGATGACTGGCCTTTCCTTCTTATTGTGTTTTCTTTTACAATGATTATGTGTCTTTAGATATTGGGATTGCAGTCAAGCCTGAGGTGATTTACCCTCAACAGGATGTGGTCGTGGTTAAAGAGGGTAAGTGTCATTCTTTAAAAAATTCAGACTAACACACACATACTGTATGTCTCTCAGGTTTGAGATGTGTGAAAATATCACTGTCACTTATAACAATCCAGTTGGAAAACAATTCCAACCTTAGTTTGAGCTTTCTTTCTGAGCGTTAACTTGTCAGACATCTTTAATTCCTAATGATAGGAGGAGGAACCCCCAATGGGACATGGACAGAAAAACTAAAACAGCTAGTGAGCGTGAGAAACATTATTTGTTTAGTTGTTTTTGTCCATGTCAACTTACGAGTCTTTTTGAAATGTAAAAGTATTCAAGGACTTATTTCAGCAACTTATTACAGTGAATGTAAAGAGTTCCTCTCCTCTCAGTGACACTTTGTGATATGAGTATGATGAGCTGTTTGTTTCTCTCTCTGATGCCCAGGTACGACAGCGGAGCTGAAATGTAAAGCCTACATCGGCATTAGTGAGGAGCACGACACCTACATGTATTGGACTGTCGACAACATTTCGACTGACGATTTTACGCAGCTCAGTGATTCCTGGCACTCGTGAGTTTAGTTTTTCCCGTTATGTTATTTCATGAAGACCATGTTCAGGATGCTGTAAATCAAAACAAGTTGAGCCCATAAAACCTTCTTGACTAGTTGTAAAATCATTACCAACACTAATTTGTTTAGTAATTAAATAAGACTGTCAATGAGCACGTTTCTTGGATAAGTAAAAACATGAGGCAACAATCTCGAATACTTTTGTACACAGGGAATATTCTGTGGATTTTCAGGTTCATATCAGTATGTACTGTAGTGTCTCTACTTTAAAGAGTCCTCTCCTGCTGATGTTCAGGTGTATATCAGTATGTAGTGTCTCTACTTTAAAGAGTCCTCTCCTGCTGATGTTCAGGTGTATATCAGTATGTAGTGTCTCTACTTTAAAGAGTCCTCTCCTGCTGATGTTCAGGTGTATATCAGTATGTAGTGTCTCTACTTTAAAGAGTCCTCTCCTGCTGATGTTCAGGTGCATATCAGTATGTAGTGTCTCTACTTTAAAGAGTCCTCTCCTGCTGATGTTCAGGTGTATATCAGTATGTAGTGTCTCTACTTTAAAGAGTCCTCTTTTCACCCTCTTTCTGAAACCAGAGCCCAGTCTGCTCTGATTGGTTAGCTGCCCGGCTCTGTTGTGATTGGTCATCCGCTTAGAGATTTTCCTCCTTTTAGCCTATCACGTACAATGTGTCAGAGTGCTAGCCAATAGGATCGCAAGTGTTACAAAGTGATATCACTATGTCACAAAAGTAAGCAATGGAGTCCAATGGAGGCGTTTCAGGCAGGGGGGAGTGTGTGGGAGAGAAACTTCCTCTGGAGAGAACTTTGGGATTGTAGCCTTTGCAGACCATTTACATGCACAAAAAACCTATATAACAAACTACAGGAAAGGGAGAACCCCAACAATCATAAGCAGAATAAACGAAAAATAAAAGCATGAAGACAACATTTTAACTGATCGATAACTGTATGACTGTTCCTTTTCCTTCAAGTCGTTGGGAAAAAGGCAGAGTGTTCGGTTTGTCCACCCTGTCCATCTCAGAAGTTCACCGTCAGTTCATCAATGTCCCCATTTCCTGCTGCGTACAGACCACTCTTAAACGTAAATGTGGTGTGGCGAGGCTTCAAGAAGGTATTTATTTCTCTTTTTCTCCATTTCTATCAATAATTGCAACACACTCTCACTCCCTAAGCGTCCAGGAGCGACGCTTGGTCAGGGTCCCGTGGCGTCCAGTTGTGACGCGCCGAGGCTCCTTCAGCTTCATAAAGGGACGCAAAGAGCTTTCAACTGATTGCAATGTATTCCCATCGGCGGCGGTATTTGACGCTTAGGGAAGCACGGTATTCGTTTGTGTCGGAGGCTGTTAAAGGCAATGTGAGCGTCCATTCCCATTGGATAACGGAGAATTGTACACCCGGAAGTAAGTATTCCCCTTACTGTCGATTGATTTGACAGTGATATCTCCACTACTCATCAACTCAAAAACACCAGATTATCCTTGTTAATTAAACGACATTGATAGGTTTTAGTGTGTGTACAATGCTTTGGTCACGCTTTCCCCTTCAATTCTGAGAAACAAGTCGTTTTCTATGAGTTTTGGATGGCCGAAGACATTACATTACCCACAATCCTCTGTAGCAACCATAGACTGTATAAAAAAATTAAATAATACATTATTCCGAGTGTGCTTGCTTTTCTCTTTCAAAGTCATCACATAACGGCATTGTAATACACGTTTCGGCTGCATTAAATATGACATATCTGCCGTAGTTAACTCTATTTATAGAGCCCTGATGACAAGACTTCTAGACAAACAGGAACTGCCGCCAAAACTGAAAACTTGACGTGGATCTTAAATATATAAGCAATTAAACAACATCTTACATTTCTTTTCACACAATACGTCTCCTTGCAGTATCAACACTAATTCGGCTGACTTTTATATTTGATCCAATTGGTAGATAGGCTGTATTTACGCCATAACGGTGCACAGCTGATAGAAAGGGACACCTACTGGTTAAAGCACGTTATTGCATTTTATAATTTTATTATTAGATATTAAAGGTGGGGTAGGTAAGTTTGAGAAACCGGCTCGAGATACACTTTTTGTTATATTCCATGGAATGCTCTTAACATCCCGATAGCAATGAATATCTTAAGTGCTTTGACAAAACATCCATACAAATATGTCATCTGTGGAAGCCGTAGTACTGTAAAAAGCACAACCAATCATTTTAGCCGGCCCGGCTAAAATAACTGGATGGCCTACCTGCCTGTCAGCCTTCCATCTGTGCACAAACTTATCTCGTGCCCTCATTGGTCATGTGCGCGTTCGTGTGTGTTGGAGGAGGGGCTCTGTAAGGATTGTGGGTAATGTAATGTCTTCGGCCATCCAAAACTCATAGAAAACGACTTGTTTCTCAGAATTGAAGGGGAAAACGTGACCAAAGCATTGTACACACACTAAAACCTATCAATGTCGTTTAATTAACAAGGATAATCTGGTGTTTTTGAGTTGATGAGTAGTGGAGATATCACTGTCAAATCAATCGACAGTAAGGGGAATACTTACTTCCGGGTGTACAATTCTCCGTTATCCAATGGGAATGGACGCTCACATTGCCTTTAACAGCCTCCGACACAAACGAATGCCGTGCTTCCCTAAGCGTCAAATACCGACGCCGATGGGAATACATTGCAATCAGTTGAAAGCTCTTTGCGTCCGTTTATGAAGCTGAAGGAGCCTCGGCGCGTCACAACTGGATGCCACGGGACCCTGACCAAGCGTCTCCTGGACGCTTAGGGAGTGAGAGTATGTTGATAATTACACAGAAATATCAATGAGACAATGCCAACCCAAAGGAATTTAAAACTATAAACAACACATTAAAACACAAATGGTTTCAGCTGTGACATACATTACTTTTGGATAGATACTACTGTATATGTGGACCCAAATATTTTTTAATACTTTTGAGTCTCGCCCGGAGCTAAACACACAGACTTGTTAGTGATTTTGCTTCTTTTTGTTGTGATTGTGTGTGTCTTTGTAGTTGCTACACATCTCTCTGTGGTTGTATGTCTCTGTGGTCTTTTTTTTTGGTGTAACTTTGTAATTGTTTTGGTCTTTTTTTTCTTTTTTTTTAACTGTGGATATTTGGAACCTTATCGTAGTCTTTGTGGTTTCCTTTTTCATAACTGTTGTGAAGCTCTTTGTGTCTCCTTGCAGCTGTTTTGCATCTCCTTGTACTTGTTTTAGTGTTTTTCAAGTCTTTAGTTTTTCTCTTTTCTTAGTAGTCATTTTTAACCATTCAAGGCATCTCTTAAATATTCCTACATATCTTTCATTGGTTACTTTTCAACACAAACCTCCACAGAATTGATCCTTCATGAAAGACTTCCCGGAGTCCTTGTTTATTCTTGTTTGGTTTACATGTGTGAACGTTTGAATGTTTCCTCCCTCCAGAGGACCACAGTGCGCTCTACACCAGCGTCTCTCTCTGCATCTCAGCCTCCCTCGCTGTCGCTGCCTTCCTCTTCTTTAAAGTGGATCTGGTGTTGGCCTACAGGAAAGTCTTGAGACATTTCTCCAAACAACAAAGTAAGTGTTTGTTGAAGGTGCTTTTCAGGAGGAATCATCTGACTACCTGGAAATCTCTTGTTTACCCAAATTGCACAAGACGTAAATAATGTGTCAGCCTTATGGAATGAACACAACTTAGGTACCATAGAAAATGTTAACATTGTCAGGAGGTACTTCACATTAACGATGAATAATTAAGGAGGACATAAACATGAGGCCACAAACAGGACTCCATGGGGATTTAATACTTTTGTACACAGGTAATATTATGCTCATTTTCAGGTTGATATTAGTATGTAGTGTCTCTACTGGGACATGTCTCCATGCTCTAATGTTCAAAAAGCTCTTTTTTTCTCTCATACTGCCTGTGCTGCAGCACCTCTTTTCACCCTCTGTCTGAAACCAGAGCCCAGTCTGCTCTGATTGGTTAGTTGGCCGGCTCTGTTGTGATTGGTCAACCGCTTAGAGATGTCCCGCCCCTTAGACTATCACGTACAATGTGTTATAGCGCTAGCCAATAGAAGCGCAATTGTTACATAGTGCCCTCTACAGTTTCAGATGGGAAGCTTTACGACGCCTATGTGAGTTTCCTCCATCCAGACACGCTCACTTCAGATGTAACGGCAAACTTCGCCCTGCAGATCCTGCCGAAGGAGATGGAGAAACACGGCTACTCGCTGTTCATCAGAGGACGAGACGACTGCCCTGGAGAAGGTCAGGAACACACACACACACACACACACACACACACACACACACACACACACACACACACACACATACACACACACACACACACACACACACACACACACACACACACACACACACACACACACACACACAGCACCAGTCATTAACCTTTTCCCATGTCATCACATGGCAATCCCATTTATAAACCAGTGGGAGTGTCATGTTGTAACTGGGTTTGTATCGTATGAAACACAAGGCGCCGCATCGTCTGTGATCAAATGAAACTATTAAAAATATCCTACAAACTCCTGACAATCACTCATACCTCACTCTGTGTCAATTACATAATAGATACTGTATGTAGGTGTTTAATTCAGTTTCTGTTCAGAGAGGGAAGATTAGTCAGTGCTGTGGTTTACATTTAAAGTTGTAATGAAGTTGCCCTGTGGAGATTTATTGGAAAAAAACACTGTTGAGCATCTCTCTCCAAAATGCAGATATTTGAAATGTACTTAAGAAAACCAATCACTTTTTTTGCAATTGCAATTGCTGCGTTCCTTAGTTCTGCATTCTAGGACACTCTTGCATTCGAAAAACAAATATTTGGCCTTTAGCTGAATTTGTTCTGTTTCCTGTGTTATCTCTTGCAGCGGTGCATGACGTCATCGCTGCTATGGTGCGCCGATGCCACAGGTTGATTATCATCCTGTCACCAGACATAAGATCCTCCACTGAGGGCGAAACGGAGGAAGTGGAAACCCTGTGTGACAACCAAACTCAGCTGTGTTATGAGCAGAAAATCGGCGTCCACGACGCTCTGACCCGCAACGAGCCCCGAGTCATTCTGGTGGAAATCGGTAAGGAATCAGGTTTATATCATTCATAAAAAATGTTTAATAAACTAATACACACATGTACTCTTATGGATGGAGATACTTTTTTTTTGATCAAATTTGTATCGTTTAATACACAACATGTACAACCAAAAGCACAACATTTTATTACTACTGTAGAAGTACATAAGAAAAAGAAAAATGAGACGACAGCAATTACTTACAAAATATACAAAATGCAGAATACAAAATACATACACACACACACACACACACACACACACACACACACACACACACACACACACACACACACACACACACACACACACAGGATGTTCACTGTTGGGTGGAGATCCTTTAACAGCTGCCAAATTATATAATAAATATTTTGCCCGAAAATGGCCACTTTGGATAATCAGTACTTTATGATTTGGTATTTAAAGGTGGGGTAGGTAAGTTTGAGAAACCGGCTCGAGATACACTTTTTGTTATATTCCATGGAATGCTCTTAACATCCCGATAGCAATGAATATCTTAAGTGCTTTGACAAAAAATCCATAAAAAAATGTCATCTGTAGAAGCCGTAGCGCTGTAAAAAGCACGACCAATCATTTTAGCCGGCCCGGCTAAAATAACTGGATGGCCTACCTGCCTGTCAGCCTTCCATCCGTGCACAAACTTATCTCGTGCCCTCATTGGTCATGTGCGCGTTCGTGTGTGTTGGAGGAGGGGCTCTGTAAGGAAGTGGCAGATTTTTTCCGGCTGTGTATTTTCAAATTCTAGCGATCTCGAGCTGGTTTCTCCAAAATTACTTACCCCACCTTTAATTACACATCCGAAAAGTTCTTGGTGGACCTAATTTGTTTTAATTACCCAAAAGTGTGAGAGGCAATACGTAACAACAGCTCATTATGCGGTATATTTGGTCAATGAGAAAAGTCAGTTTAACCAAATTAGTTAGCAGTTTATCTTTTGGGGCCTGTGGAATGTCGAATGCAAGAGTGTCCTTGAATGCAGAACTAAGGAACGCAGCAATTGCAATTGCAAAAAAAGTGATTGGTTTTCTTAAGTACATTTCAAATATCTGCATTTTGGAGAGAGATGCTCAACAGTGTTTTTTTTCCAATAAATCTCCACAGGGCAACTTCATTACAACTTTAAATGTAAACCACAGCACTGACTAATCTTCCCTCTCTGAACAGAAACTGAATTAAACACCTACATACAGTATCTATTATGTAATTGACACAGAGTGAGGTATGAGTGATTGTCAGGAGTTTGTAGGATATTTTTAATAGTTTCATTTGATCACAGACGATGCGGTGCCTTGTGATTCATACGATACAAACCCAGTTACAACATGACACTCCCACTGGTTTATGAATGGGATTGCCATGTGATGACATGGGAAAAGGTTAATGATTTTCTCCGGTTGTGTATTTTCAAATTCTAGCGATCTCGAGCCGGTTTCTCAAACTTACCTACCGCACCTTTAAGTATGTTTTGCTGCATTACTTAAGTAACATTTTGAATGCCTGAAATGCCTCCATTGGACTCTTTTGTTTCCGTAACAGAGTGACAGCTATACAGTATTTAACACTTGCGCTCCTATTGGCTAGCACTCTAACACATTGTACGTGATAGGCTAAGAGGCAGGACATCTCTAAGCGGTTGACCAATCACAACAGAACCTGCCAGCTAACCAGAGCTTTTTTCTTTATTTTTTAATTAAATTAGCATCAGATTACTTTTTCCACTATTGCTATAAACTAAAAACTGCAATTACCAGGAGCTCTGAAAAGTGTCATTATGAAACATGCTAAAGTGGTCTCTCTAATCATTGTAAAGGTTTGCTAAAGTAAACATGTAAATGTATGAATATCTTTATTTAAATATATGGTCAACATTTTATTGTATTCCTCTAGGCTCGGTGGATTACAGATGCCTTCCGGAGTCTCTGCGCTACATCAAGAGGAAACAAGGAGCTTTGAAGTGGAAGAAACCCTCCCTTAAAACCAACACATGTATCAAGTTTCGCTCCAACAGAAACTTCTGGAAGAGTCTGAGGTACAACATGCCCTCAGTGCCTTCAGGGAAACTCCACACCATTGTTTAAATGCCTGTTTCCTGGGAATACTTATTTTGACGTAGAAGACATCCTGGATCGGTTTGTTAGGTTAGGTTACATGATTCATGTAAACAAACAAGACTGATAGCCTGGCTCGTTGCACACTGAATGCAACCCAGAGAGACATCTGCTGGATTTCTTCCTGGATTCAAACTCCTTAAACAAATCTGCTCAACATGTTACAGACTTTCAGCTATGTTCACATTACTCAACAGTTTACCAGTGTAATGTACTATTATATTTATATGATGCGTGTTTTGTATATATTCAAGTCATTAGACAGTCTTTATTTAAAAATGTCCTTGTACCTGGACATGGGCTTAATGAAGAAGAAGAAATACACCTTCCAAGAACAGCATAGCTGTTTCTGTTTTGAGCTTCTTGCAATGTTTTTCCGTGAAGTTGGTGAAGATGTTTCTTCATTTGCTTTGTTTTGGCACATTTGTGCTGCGGGTTTCTCCTAATGGAAATGTTTTGGGCCGTTGTAGTGTGTTGGCACCTGTCAGCCACCTTAGAAAAGGGTTTATAGACTCAATGTGTAATACGTTTTGAAAGGATGTTTACTCAACACTGATATCAACCTGTATTTCATTATTACTGAGTTATTCTCTGCCTCATATCATCCAAGGGTGTTATTTACCACTTTTGCCTAAAAAGTCATGGTTTCTGGAAAAGTATTTATTCGTCAGCCTGGTTCTTGAGAAGTGATGTCCAGGAATTTCTGATTTTTCTATTCCAGCTTTCTGGAATCCAGCTTGTTTAGACTTATACAGTATGAGCCAACTATTTAGTGGGAATCTGCTTAGCATGACCAAATTCATTCAATCGAACGTCATTTGAAACCCACATTTGGATCAGTCACTGGGTGAGGCTTTTCCACTTCTAAAAACATTAATGAAACGCAGATTAAACTATTTAATTGTGAGGGTATGACGTCCCTGGAAACTTCATTTCGATCCTCAGCCTTACACTTCTGGCCAATCCCATCTCTTGGGGAAGCTGGAAAAATCAGGAAATAATGAAGTTGAGGACGTTTTTGAAGTGATTTTGCCTGTCTTTCCTACACCAGCAAACCTAATCGAGGTGTTGTTGTTGTGCAGGGACTCGGGTCTTCACCGTTTGGTTACAAAAAGAAAAACAGCAGCATGTGACAACCAGAAGCAGGAAACAGGTGCTAAAACAAAAACAGTTTAACCAAGGTATTACAAAAACTGTGTGCATAACAATATGTAACTTTATGGTGTGATTTAAATGTATTTTATTTCTCTTATGAGGACTGTATTAAGCGCTGTGGAAACCTTGTATCTCCGGGTCTTGTTCTCGAGTTAGGGGACAATGGAGCGTGAGATGGATGGATCGAAACCTTGGCATTTTTCAAGGATCCTGATACACACAAGGGCATTTCTGCTATCATGCTATGTAAACATTCCTTGATGTTTAGCTAGTATTTTGCTCACCAACAACCAAAATATTGCAAATGAAATGCCTAAACCATGCATGTTCTCTAAAAAAACTCTTCATACGCAAGTGTGGGAAGAGAAAGGCCCTTTTAGACTGAAGTAACCCTTCAATAATGTTTCATTATTGAATCATAGTTTGTCTAATAAGGGTATCATTGTTTATGCGTTTTATAACTTTACATATATATAGTTCAACCAGTAGAACATGTATAAGTGAGTGCGTGCTCTTACACTCTTGGCGAGTGACAGGATCTCCCTTATCAACAAATTCGAAGAATCTTGCAAAGATATTTCCTGTTCAGCTTTCCAGAGAAACATGTTCTTATCTTTGTCGACTTATCTCACTTTCTCTCAAACATCCTGTACTTGCATTTTTTTTCAACCTCATTCTCTATATACCCGAAAATAACCGAATAATATTGTTTTTATTTGTAATATTTGACAAGACTATGAAACATTTTGTTTGTTGGCAACTTTTCTAAACGTTGACTTGCAAATATAATGTTCCTAATTCAAATGTAACTTTTATATAAGGCTGAACAGTTTGCTATCTGAGACATAAGTTAACTTTTTAACTTATAGGACATAAAAGGATTTTAGCTTCTGATCATTGACCTAACACACCTGCAGCATGACGCCCATCGAAACACTTGCACCCATTGTTTTATATTTTAGTTTGTGCACCAATTCATTGACAGTGAGGGCATCGAAACACATCTTATCTCTTCCCCCAATCACAGGCCTTTTGCCACTGTAAGCGACATCAACAAGTCCTCGCTGTGGTCTTTTAGGGTAAAAAAAAAGAAATCTGATGCTAAAAATACGAGTGTGTATCCTTCATACATTTGATCAGGGCTGAGAGGTTGACAGATGGAAACAAAAAACGATTTTATTTATAGGAAAACCTGCCTTTCATTCAGCATATTCAGGCAGTAGCCTTTACACCAACAATTAAACACATGAGCACATACTACAGTTTAAAAAAGCAGAAATAAAATCTGAGCTGACAGAAAATGCTCAGTTTTAGTTTAACACACACAGTTAAGCTCACACACACTATTTTATGAACGTATAGGTTCACCTGCTGAATTAAAAACAGAACAAATGAAGCAAAGAAAGTGAAAACCATAAAGAAAAACAGTTTTGCCAAAAGCTTTTTAAGGAATTGGACCAAGTCGAATAACAAGCCTAGTTCTCCCGAACCAAATAACTCTAATGCTCTGAATGCCATATACTGTAACAGTGGAGCCTTTAAGTGTTTCTGCATTAATGTCGCCCACAACCTGATCCGTCTGAACAGAAAATGAGCATCACTGTGTGGAAGCACTTCCCATTTCAGATCTCTTTATCCTTGTTAAAAAGCTCTTACAGTCGATTAGTTATTCAGTGGAGACACTCATTGTCTTAATTTCACTCAGCGGGAATCAGTATCCGTGGTTTGTTTGCTTTGTAAAGCATTAGTTCATTGTGGGGAGATTCCACAGGACGCTGTTGTGTGTTGATTTTGATGAGTGGCAGTATAGGACATAATAACCTTTACTGGCATCTCATGAGGTCAGCTGATACCTAGCTGGAAATGTTTACCCCCTAAATCTATGAAGCGTCATTCCTCAACAGCAGGCATGAACCACCCGCATCGCAATGTCCTATGCTTAAAAGATTATGGAGTCAGTTACAGGATATGAGACCCACCGATATTTTATCTCGTTCATGGTTTCTTTTCTTTCTGAGGTGTGGTTTGTTGGGATTCGTAAGGGATATTTAGAGGTCATTTTGTGTGTGTGTGTGTGTGTGTGTGTGTGTGTGTGTGTGTGTGTGTGTGTGTGTGTGTGTGTGTGTGTGTGTGTGTGTGTGTGTGTGTGTGTGTGTGTGTGTGTGTGTGTGTGAAAGAAAGAAGAAAAAGGAAAATGGGAGGAGAGAGGGAGGAGGAATGGACACTGTGTGTGTGTGTGTGTTTGTGTGTGGGTATGTTTGTTTGAGTATATACAGCATATGAGTGTGTGTGTGTGTGTGTGTGTGTGTGTGTGTGTGTGTGTGTGTGTGTGTGTGTGTGTGTGTGTGTGTGTGTGTGTGTGTGTGTGTGTGTGTGTGTGTGTGTGTGTGTGTGTGTGTGTGTGAAAGAAAGAAGAAAAAGGAAAATGGGAGGAGAGAGGGAGGAGGAATGGACACTGTGTGTGTGTGTTTGTGTGTGGGTATGTTTGTTTGAGTATATACAGCATATGAGTGTGTGTGTGTGTGTGTGTGTGTGTGTGTGTGTGTGTGTGTGTGTGTGTGTGTGTGTGTGGTGTGTGTGTGTGTGTGTGTGTGTGTGTGTGTGTGTGTGTGTGTGTGTGTGTGTGTGTGTGTGTGTGTGTGTGTTTGTGTGTATGAGGGAGGAGAAAGGGACACTGTGTAATTTATAATTATGTCATTATGTCAACGCCTCTCTTTCTCTCTCACTGCCTGTGTGTTTCTGTGTGTGTGTGTGTGTGTGTGTGTGTGTGTGTGTGTGTGTGTGTGTGTGTGTGTGTGTGTGTGTGTGTGTGTGTGTGTGTGTGTGTGTGTGTGTGTGTGTGTGTGTGTGTGTGTGTGTTGCTTTTTCTTGCTCTCATGGTGTTACTCACTCACACTTCTCACAGAGGAGACATAAAACCAGGTAGAGGAGAAGAGTCTCACTGAATCCACTCAAGTTTTCTCGCACACGCTATCAGGTAAGCAAACGGTTTCATTTTTTCTTCTGCATGTCTTTTTGAAAAGGAGTTCAACTGTAGAAGTACAGAGTATGTTTATTCAAGGTTTTAGGCAAGGCAAGTTTATTTATATAGCACATTTCAACACAAGGCAATTCAACGTGCTTTACAAAAATTAAAGACATTAAGAGCATTAAGAAACATATTATAAAATGATATCTAAAAACACTCATTGAAAAGCAAAGATAAAAAGCAAAGATAATAACAGTTACAGTGCAGTTTAAGATGTGAATAGTTCAATTAAAAGCAGCGGCAAAAAGAAAAGTCTTCAGCCTGGATTTAAAAGTAGTCAGAGTTGCAGCGGACCGGCAGGTTTCTGGGAGTTTGTTCCAGATATTTGGAGCATAATAACTGAACGCTGCTTCTCCATGTTTAGTTCTGACTCTGGGGACAGAAAGCTGACCAGTATTTAGAGAGAATACTGCCAGTTAAGTCGGTACGGAGGTACTAAAAGCTTAAGACAAAAGAGAACCTTATTTTTGTAATGTACTTCATTACAATTCATTCGTGACTTTTGCAATTCGTCAACACATTTTGGCATTAAAGAAAGATATTCCATATTATTCATAACTGCCTGTTGCAAAGGAAATAACACATTTGTTTTACATTAATCATTTATTTTAAATCCATTAATTCAGAGTTTTTAAAAGTGTCTCAGCTGTGGCACAGAGAGCAAATGTTTACCGGGGCTTCCTCTATAAATAACCACACTTGTTTCGTAATCACAGTTTTTATTTGTGTTGTGCTGTGTTAATGTTACGCCGGAGATTATTGCACGTTCCTGAAACAGCAGCCGTGCAAAGAAGTGGAAGACATCAATAAAGACAGACTGTATGATATGTTTGATTATTTAGTTCTACTGTATCTATTTTAATAGTATCCTTGGAGCATTGTGTACTTTGAAGACGACATATTTGACTCCTTTCCAGGTTCATTTTTATATTCTGTGCCTCTACTGGGACATGTACTGTATCCATGCTTTAATGTTCACCCACACCTTCACTCAATCCTGAGGGTCTCCTCAGCTCAAAGCCTGACCCCAAACATTGATGACCTTGCACCCAAGATGAGATGCCAAGTATCTGGCTTGAACTAGCATCACAGAGCAGCACACTGAGTTTACATGGATGTTTCCATCTGCACTTTCTTTCTCACGACAACAGGGCATGTTTGTTTTTTTCTTTGAGGGAAATTGTTTTTTTGAAGCTGTTGTTGGCCTGTGGAAAAATGTAATCATAAGAAATGACTCTGGAAAAGCTGCAGATAGAGCCATAAGAAATGAATGCAACTGATTATTTAATGTTTAATGTTGTTTTTATAGGCAATCATTTAAGCTTTGTTAGTTCCAGGTTTAATATGTGCAATAAGTTCATTTCAATAAGTTCTGCAATAAACAT